ATGGCGACTTCCGGGTTTCTTCGGCAAGGAGTAGCCAGGTTGTAGCGCTGACGAGCTGAGCTAATCGATCGTAGCTTGTGATGATTCGCACAATCTCATCGTTCTCATTTTGATTTTTCGCATAACAGACAAGTTGAAACTGATGACTGCGTGATCATTGCGACCTAACGGGCAGTTTACAGCCAAGATATCAATCATATGCTCTTCGTTTGTAAGCACAAGACCCAGTACAGATGGCCTGTTACCAGTTCGGAACCGAGTGGGCAAAATGTTATGATGAGAAACAGAGGAAAAGTGAATCCTTTTGCTTTTCACATGCATTTTGGCTTTTTTAATGTAATGGCTTTGTGTTGAACGGTCAAACCGCGTTACCATTTACTACCTTCCGTTCAGTGATCTCAATTTCATATTAGTTTCCCAGGAGTGTTATGCTAATAGTTTTTCTATTTTGGAGCCGCAACAGGAAAGACGTGCGCGACCTGTGACAGCCTTTTTGGCCACAAGGTAGGTCATTCATCGAGACGCTTTTCTTCGGTGCAATCGAACATAGAGTCAAATGGCACTGATTCGCGCGACATACGTAGGACATGACTGAGGCATCGCAAATGGAAAACAAAATGACTTAGTTAAGGGGAAATCCATACGACCTAAACGCATCGTTTACAGCGTCGTTCCCAAAGTGGTGCCCACACAACACTTGATCTGTGCTCCGAAAATATCCGTCGCCAAAACCCGAAAGCTGACACCTTTGTATATTAACTTAACAGGACACGCTTCTACCTAAAACCATTCCGCGCAGAGAGGATTTGTTGAACCTAGTCACTATCCGCATTGAAACAGCCTTGGTTAACAATAAACTGACTTTGCTAATGTTGTGAACACTCTCCTAATATTGCAATCAGCATGGAAGTAGCTTCCCGGGAATCCAATATTTTTACTTGTTCGTGCTTCCTACCTTAATCAGAAGACCTAGAGCATGTGGAAGCTAATCCTGTGACTGGAGTTTGTATTTTTAGAGGTATTCCATACACAACTACTTCTTCGTCAAGCGGCTGGGGCTTAGTTTCGATACCTGATGCTCGTCACAAGGCATAGTGATGTCGTCATCACACTCTAATCCATCGTGCGACTGGCTGAAAGAAGCACTTGGCCAGATCGTTGGTAGCTTTCATAAACGCTAAATATAAAACCTTTCACTGCGAAATTACATGGATGTGATATAGCACACCCCTCCTGTATACAATTGGGGACAGCGAAAGATGACCACGGCCCCCTATAAGACTATTCTGTTGCGCGAGAACTTGAGGTATGATGCCCAAAGAAATGCGTCACACATTTCGGTTGTGTTTTCTGATGCGGCAGAGTCAGCTAGAAGACCGGTCAACCGAGATGAATAAACCTTGATATCCAGAAGTGCGCAAACATGCATATTTTGACAAAAGTACCAGCCATAATTTGTGATCCACACAGCATAGACTAAGACGCGAATCAGATTATTCTCCACAAAAGTATAGATATTGAATCAGTGCAAGTCATTGAAGCAGCATAATTATTAACCATTTTTAAGAAACCTACTTCAGCTGATTTCGCTGTGACTGTTGCTTAGTTTACAAGTACAGCCAGAACTTTCTAAGACGACCACGCAAGTGACCGACAAAAAATGATCGCCTTGAATAGATGGTCGCCATGGATAGGTTCAAGCATAGGGACACTAATCCGAAAAGAAAACGTTGGGGATGGTTTTGGCTGGTCATCATAGACTGATGGTTGCCGTGGCAGGATGGACTGTACTAATCTTGAATAGTGGGACGGTAATCGACTTTCCACAAGAAGATGAAACCTGATCATCAAATCAACTCTTACAAAGCTATAAATTGGCTAATAATAACCTCTCCATCACATCTGAATAGCTCAGGTGAAAGACCATTTTATTGGTCTGCGTTGGATCGCTCTAAGTGTAGATACTCAAGGATGACCTTCACTACGACGACTGCTTCCATTAAAACATCCCAGGATATGCGTTGGAGTATACTGCAAAAACCGATAGACTGAAGAGACCAGCTAGAATGGATGTGAAATTGCTTAGCCGAGCGGTCCATGCGCCTGCGCAACTTAGTGATTGGTGATGCAGCAGCCTCGCATATAGTCTCGTTAATTCCAGTTTTCTGTGAGCTGGAATAGCCTATAAATGTCTGGAGAGCAGCTGTTTTCCTCTTAGTATCGCGTTCGGATAGTCAGGCTTGGCGACCATTTCATAGGATTTGCTTGAGTGGCTGGCCGAATGAATGACATAACACACTGTTGTTTCGATCCTCTGGGATGACTCGGTAGCGATCAAACAATCTCAGTTTGTGAGTACAGGACCATTTTCTTAGAAATTGATAACTATAGGTAGAAATTCATCACATCTAGCCTCACTCAGACAGACATCACACGCCCGGAAATGCACTGTACGCGCCTTGCATCCCTTCGTGAATCGTCAGCAGTGAGCAATTCATCGGACCCTGGTAAGGCTCGAACCTACTGATAACTGTTTCCACAGACAGATCAAGCAGCAGAGAGCCTAGCTTTTTACAATTAACTCCAGTAGGGTACAAATATGTGTGGTGGTGCACAGCTGAGTGCATCCAATGCGGGAAATTGGTAGCTCAAGTCGGTGGAGTAGTCAGCTTGACCGTTAATATCGAGCGTACAGTTCCAAGAAGACGTTCGCATGGTAGGAGCGACCAACCGGCGTATTGAGGTTCCTGATGAACGCAAAGATATCCGATTTTCCAACTTTACACAAGAGCTGGGGGAGTATAAAATTAAAGTCGTTTTCAACCCCTGCAAAGTTTCGCGCGGGTGAAAAGAAGGCAGGGATAACAAACAAATAACGCCCAGCTCCAACTTTTATGTTGGCCTTGCGCAATCCCTGAAGACAGATTACTCACAGCTTTTTCTTATTCGGAAACCAACCCAGCAGGGTTGGTCTCAGTGTCGTCACTAAGTGTTGTAGCAACACCATCCAAGCCGGTTGCAGTTGCTTCCATATCACAAGACAAACTTTGGGCCATCCCATTAGCATAAGCGCGGTGCGAGTTTCCCTGTATTAGGTTTGGGAAAAGTCTCGAATATCAGTAAAAGCGCCGGACATCCGCTCCACCCTTGCGGAAGTCATCTGCATTGGGAATTTCTACTGTTCCCTGTGGCGCTAGGACTCGTGTTACGACCTTAAAAATTCCTTGTTGTGAAAATTAGACTGCAGTGGACAGGTGCAACCTAATTCTGAAAAGGTAGAACGGCTTTCCTGTACTTCACTAGGTGTGGGGCGGCCGTTTGCTTGGCATTAGATGTGATGAGAACAAATTATACCATCCATTGTTCCTTTAAAAGGAATGTAGTTTATATCTAACAGTGACCGAATTGGGAATCGCTGTACAGCTTACATTGTGCCGAAATCTGTGGACAGAACAGTGTTGACACCCTGCAGGAGCATTTGAGGACCAATTGTTACAGGTTTGATTGTCTAGGTCGTTGGTCAGCTATCACATCATATTTGTGGCAGTAGTAAAGTGGACTGTAAGCAAGTTGTGAGAGTTGGTGGTGGTGCCTAAAGTCCGAGCTTGATCAACCAAGGAACAACACCAAGGGACAACCACTAGTGGTCGTAACCTATACCAGTACTAATGTCAAACAAGCTTTCCATATAGAAGTTTCTGTTGGTAAACGATAATAATCCTAGCTGACATAACGCATTTGGAAGTGTTTCCCGCCAGCTCAGGTTCGGATTATATCTTCCTCCATCTAATACCGCATTGTTAAGCAAGTTAATGAGGAGCTGTATTGCGGCATTTCACTTTCCTTAGTTTACATTAGCGCAAAGCGAACTTCCATATAATACAAAAGAAAATGCTGTGAAATTTTTAGTTTAAATTTTGAGCTACAGCTATCGAGTTAGCTTTTTTACTGCTGACCAGGTAAAGAGTAAAAACGAGTTACGAATAGAGACAACCGCGAAATTTACGAATGGGCGACTAGTTGTCCTTTGTGACTTCGGAGAATCTTCCTCTTCTGGTTCACATCCTGAAAACTACTCCGACTGGGAGTAGGTCCGTTGTGCGCGTTCCGATGTAACCCTGCTTGCTTCTGTGTATCCGATATTCCACCATTCATGTCTTTGAAGACAGAAATTGATTCCTTGGATTTAAATAAATAAATCGTATATTTCTCTGCGGTGCGATGCACAGTCCAACTATGTGGTCTGTTCAATAGGTACAGAAAGGTTGAGAAAAATGAGTAAGTGTTCACATTTTAGACAATGGGTGTAACCAGGTTTTTAAAGTAATTAAGAAGTTTTAAGGTATTGTGGAAATAGAGAAGCTGGGTGAAATAACAACTTCAGATTTAACTAAACGTTTGAGTAAAGTATTATGGTCATCCGTGTAACCGACCCCAGGGGACCTGCTTCCATGCAGCGTATTCCACCCGCTTTGTCCATGCCCATTTCGGCTATGTGCCGGTGAGGCAATGTGGCATATAAACCATCACCTGTTAACAAATGTTTTCTTTTTAGGGTTGCTTTCATGCATACATCATGGACGATGAGGCCTCGGCACGTTTCGTTGTGCGGATCATTCAAATATGGTACAATTTTATACGCCGGTCTGCTGGTGCCAATGCGTTATGCATGGGCGTAATTTCGTGAAACTTACAATCCACCACGTCAGGAGATCAGAGCAGTAACCAGTAGTCCCCGGGCAGCGTTTACGTAGTCAACATCAGAGTCATTAAATTACCTAATGTATAGCATAAATTTCTTAAAATAATGCTTTGACATGTGTAGCTCGGGAATGATGGCTTGGTTAAGCATCAACCCCTTAATTTTCGGTTTCCATCTAACAGTTCATCTGGTATGCATATTGCGTTTGCCAGCCTTACAGTTAAAACGCTCTTCAGCAGAGTAGAAATATGGGTTGATAAGCGATTTCAATGGCTTCCTGGCTTTCTCTTTAACACAGCTGGATTCCAAACAAGGTTCAACGCACCTTTCGAATTTGCTCGGTCCCGCGTACCTTACAAGAGAGCGAAGAAGAATTATGCATTACCTTCAACACAGGGTCGATAGATCAATCTCACCCGATAGTCTCCTACTGCACCCGTGTAATGAGGTCGCCAGGAAATACGTTGAAGAGACAGGTACATCGCTGCTGCAGTCATCGTCTCCATGGCCACGTTCCAGAAAATCGCGTGATGTACGGGAAAACAGACTTGTGAAAACGGTATTTGAACCAGATCTTCATGCATCGAGTTCAGGCATGTTTTCCAGCCATTTGCTCTGGCATGGCGACCAGAGGCAATGGTTGAGCCCTGGTAGAGTACGAGAAATACTCACCTTCATCTCACGTTTTGTGCAACGTTACAAAGCTTCGTTTGACCCAACACAGGTAGGATTGCACTTCAAATCTTAATTGATTGTGGAGTTGAGTTTTCAAAAGCCAACCTTCCCGGTTGTATTTGTTGCCCCTTGATTGGTCGAAGAAACCGCATTTTGCCCACACTATGGGTATGACATAACCAACTAGTGGCGGCTTCTATGGCCCATCATTCAGTGTCAAAATTCATCACTTACTGAGTGTAGAAATGGTCATTCCATGCAGCGGCCATGGCATCACTAGTTAGCATGGCTTTCGAAGCAATTTCAAGTGATCACTAATTTCTGCATATTGGAGCAATTCATTAGAATCCGAAAACTAGGTATGCTTGTAGCTTCACACAGATGACACATTTACATAGTGAACAGTTAGGTCATGCTGTGCAGATACTCAACCTATCTTCCCTTGTACTTGGTACGAGCTTATTATACCGTAGGTAGGTTGCTATCACAGTGTTGTGTAAATTGACGCATTCACCTTATGCCTAACTTTAATAAGAATTTTTTACATCACTGTTCTGTAAAACACTACACTTCATTACAGCTACTTTGTGTCCTTACCCGTAAGCGACAGATGCTCCTGGGGCACGAGTGACTCGTAAAATTCCCGGGTCCAGCCAAAAAAGGAAGCCGAGACGTTAACTACGGTTCTAATAAACAAAACAGAACTCAAATACATATTTACATACCACAACAGTGACCGTTCAGTCCTGAAACAACCAGGTCTTCGTACAGTTACAAGATGAAATAGCGTGAGTTCACTTGCTACCGCACAGCAAGGCCACACAGCACAGATTCAAAGAGAGGAATACGAGGGTTCTTTTTAAAGTGTCAGAAATGTTATCCCATTGGTCCGCGGCACGGCGCACAGGAAGATACAAGGTGTCATTGCATTCAAATGGAATGAGAGTAACACTTCTCGGTGCGGATGTAGGATCAAAGGCCAACAAGGGCTTGAGTGCCCTTGAGGTTAATAGCACGGGGGAGGGGAGTGCACAATCGTCACAGCGGGAATGATATGGGAGCAAATCCATGCCGACTGGTGGCACACCTGGGCATGTTACACAGTATGGGCGCGATCGTATCTAGCAGCGGGGTTGGAATGAAACCACGTAGACATGGTTAGGAAAATAATGAATCGCAAAATAACCCATAGGAGCAGGTGTCAGTTAAGGGTATCGGAAACAAGTCTCGATACCATGGTGTGAGTCGCAAGGAAAACATGGCGCTTTGCATAGTTAATCGCATAAGGTAGACAAATAATGGGTACTCAGGGATCTCGGCAGAAGGCGCAGATGGTGTGGTTATCTGACTATGATCTTGACATGCACGCTGCGATTTTCATGGTAATTCCTCCGCCTACATTATCCTCCTACCTGTTTTCAAATCATTAATATATCTGGTAAAGACAACCCTAAAAATAAGGCTTTATCAGTGCTAATCTACAGCAGTAGGTGTGTAGTTTTACCCCGTTCCTGAAGACTTAAGTGCATTAGAAAAATCCTGAGACATTCATGATCTGAATGGTTTTTCTACTGCAAAACAGCTAAATTAACACCTATGAGGTTTTGAACCAGAGGTTTGGCAGATAGCACCAATTCTGAATAATGTCAGATTGGCTTCTCCTGATGGAATTTGTAGTATACACATAGTTACTTTTGAAAAATAGTTCAGTTAGTGACACTCTTACATGTCTCTCACCATCGCGGTTTCTCTTAAGCTGTTAGCTACTTTCTAGTCTGCTGATTAAACAAGGATATAGTATTACGTAAGTCGGAAGAGTGGGTCAGGAAATCTCGTTTTATTTTGTCGCCATACCGAGACCACCATCGTCTCAACTGGGGTCTACAGGATGCTGTCACCCGGGTGCTCGAGGAAAAGTGGAATTCATCAGAGTTGGCCAATATTCCCCTTTATATTCCTTTTTTGGTGAAATCATGATGCATGACCGTATTATTACCAACTGTTCTGGATTAGGAAGTTATACCAGTAGGTCACCTGACGGGCCCCGAGTATGCGGACGGTACAGCTGTCATTCGGCTCGACGTAGCGGCTTAACGAGCATCGCTGAATGTACTGTATTTAAGTCTACAAACCTCAGTACATGCTTGCAATCATCAAAGCGTGAGATATTGTTACAGGATAAGAGTGCTAGATTACCGGTACTGTCTAGCAACAACTAGCCACTGAAAGCTGTTAATCTGTTCACATACCGTGATGGTGATGTCAATTTCAGTGGTCAAATCTGTGATGAGGTTACTTCCTTCACTAACAAAGCTCTTCTGACTTTCAACGACTCAGAGACCTATGGAGATGTTGGATATCAGAAAATCTGATAGTGGTAGGACTTGCAACGCTGCGACAAAACAGATGCGACTGTATGGAGTTGCTGCGGATACTCCGTATGCTAGAGCTAATGAGAGCTTAATCGTCTGCTCACCACTGATTGAGGAGCATTTCCCATATTCGGTGAGAGCATGGAGTGGGCTATACCATTTTGCATCAGTGGGCGTTTAAAAAGAAAAGCACTGGCGTTTTGCTAGAGCGTCTATTAAGCCCGAAACCGCTACATTAGCTAACTCATATCCTCGAAATGTCGTTTAACTGCGTTTCTTTGTGATCATGAATTGTTGTCGCTGCGTCTAGCGTGCCGAAACCGTGAGTAGCCAGGTCGATGACATGGAATAAAGGCCTGAATCATGCGGTTCAGGAACCGGACCAAACTTTTACTTTCCGCCTTTGAGATAAAGGCTACGCGGTGGGCTACGTCAGAGTTTGGATACAGTATCGGATGTAGCGCAGTTGAAAAACCATCGGTGTTGCGGCGTTCGGTTTCATGCGGCTAGCCTTTGAATCTGCATCTCGATTACCTTTACTCACTATTTTCCTAACCTGAGCTCGCGTTTACCCGGTATGTGTCCTGCCTCATTTTCCTCATCACAGTTAATTATCGTTATTCTGCGAAAATTGTCGAAAAAACTGGATTTTTGCTCTGGGGCGCCCGGATTAGTGTCCTTCAGATGAACTGATATGGCAGAAAGTTATCGTATTCCCAGCTCATGAACAATTCGCGCGCGTAGTATAAATTGTGCGTAATACCATTTATGCACACACACAATGGATGATCTCACTTACCTGGTTATCCGCTCACTCGGGTTATACCATTATTAATAATATTACTAATGTACATTTCTTGTGAGACCGAGAAGTCGTGCGCACAAAGGGGACACCACAGAGGCGGCGGGTTCATGGAAGGAACATTAACAAGTACCAATAAACTCAAATCAGAATGTAAAGGTTTAGCAACTCAAGGTATGCGGATTGTCGAGTAACTTGTATTAAGCTTAAGGTCCGGTTAAATTTCAGGGAACCAAGTGGATTTAAAAGTAGCGAGTATATCACTAGCCGCATATTACTCAGGTTGTATCAGTTGTATTTATTGTACTCCTCGTAACCATTTGATGTTAGCCGTTCTTAGAGGAAAATCGAGTTATGATTGTATAGCTTTTTAACCTCAAAAAGTAATTGACGCTGTTTTACACGCTTACTCCGTTCGGTCAAGAGAGCTTTTGACTTTGAAGGTATTAGTGCTCTCTGTTCCAGCATGGAAGCTAGTTTTGTACCATATCATGCATACACGTATTATATTGGTAAGTGAGTGGATGCGCGCTAGTAGTTAAGTGGAAGGAAACATTGATTGCTTTTGCTCTTTAGCATACGGTGAGCTAGATCACAAGTATATGCCTTACAACTTGCATTTACTGTTTAATGTGCAAAATTTAAACGCAGCTCTACATCGCCCTCTATGAGTGGGAACTTGAAGAGTCGAGAAAAGAGTTTCTGTCTCAGCGAGAGCAAAGTGCACGTGGAAGGCAATGGAAAAGAGAGAGGACTCGTCTCCGAGAGTACAATCGTAATTTGCGCCACTTCGCTTCAATGAGAACCAAGGAACGCGCAATGCAACTCAGCAAAGCGCGAAATTACGATGATTTTCACCATATTCTCTTCGGAGAATCTTCCACACATGATCTCAGTCAACGAAAGCACGACAACCATGCCCGGGTATTCGCCGAGCCCTTCTATCGTTCAAAATTGCGACGCGCCTCTTCTGACCAACCCAGAGTTTTTTCATCTTCGTCCAGTGCCCTTCATTTCCCTGATGGTGCAGGTGGGGGCGTCTTCGTCAAGACACCCAGATATATACGAGAAATTGCGATTAATGACGACCCGGATACAGGTCTCCTTAAGTCATCGCAGCGAGATCATGATTCCACAGTTGGCGAATTTTCTTCGCAGGATGTAGTTGACGAAGAGCCAAAACGTAAGTGAAAGAGCTTACTTTGTATCATTAATAAACTGTCCCGAAGCTAGGTGGTGGGTGGAAAATTTTTCCTTTATTAAGCCGGTTTTCTGACTTGACAAATCCAATCTTTAGCTTGTTGTCAGGCGTGCACACTATTTGTCTTAAGTACTCTGATATACGCTTGTCTTCCTCAACAATTGCCACAGAATAAATGCTGGGAAATTCTTTGGGAGTATTTTCGCCGCATGCGAGATGAGTAAAGTCCGTCACGTGTTAAGGCTTAGGTGGTCCAACTCAAATAAACACGGCTACGGTTAACCGTGTCAGCGCGCTTGTTCTACGTCCGTACTAATAACGCTTTCTCATATCTGTGGCTTATATCCGACTGTGACGTTGTAGGAAATCGAATGCTACCAAATGAATTTGGTCCCATTTGCATACCTTAGTTCCACCACTTAATCAAAAAGTTACTTATATGTGTACAGAATTGATCAAGGGTTTGTTACGCATTTGAATGACTGTAAGTTACCGGCCTTTAGCGTGTGAAATGCATTACCTACTCTTATATCAATCGTTCCTAGAGCCAAGATATATGGGACTACAGGACTACGCTTGTAGCCTATAGCTTACTCATGATAGTATATATAGGATTCCCAATTGACTATACTGCAGTTCAGCATCCTTAGTTATTTTGCAGTTCCGAAAAGCTCAGAACCATGCTCTTCGAAGACGTACAAAATTGTACTTAATGATCGTAAAATCTATCAATTTAATAAGGCCGTATCATTAGCATGAGTATGAATATAGTTGAAATCTTGGAATTCATATCCGGTAGTTTATTTTCAGTCTCCTGAACATCACCTGTGTATTATAAATAGAAGGTAATGTTCACATAAATCTATAGTATTCTCAGTAAGAAAGCACATAACACCAATCTCTTACACCTGAGAAACCAGGAGTATACTTTTTGTGCTTTTAGTGTGTATATATCAAAAAAGAACCCTGCACCCCGCTAACCTTTGCACTAATTTATTTCTTGCATATATCGATGAATTGCTATGCATGGTGAACAAACTTTCATTAGAAAATCAGACAACCTATTTCGGAACAGATGTTTAAATATTCATCTCTACGCATGGCGCGTAAATCGAGGTGGCCGGCATTCGGGTTTTTATTATGGTACAGCAGGAATTGTGTCAGTGGAATGCAAGAAAACCAAAGATTGATCTAACGAATTTTAGGTTACTTACTCTTGGCAGTTAACTGCAGGAACGTTACCAGTTCGGACCTAGCGCGATGGCTGGAATTTCCACAACTGCAGTACAGTTTCGTTAGGTCTGAGTGAGTCCTGTCTATTAAACACTAATTACCGATGTTTAGGTAATTGTTCATTTGTGTCTACCAAGCGCTTCACGGATTTTCACTAACACTTCGGTTTCGACCTCGGAAAAAAGGCAAATTTGGGACAACCTTTATGACTTCTTTCATAGGATTATGAAGAAAAATTGTTCCTAGTGATTGTTTAACCATTTTTTACATGACGTTCGCTTAAAACAACAAAGCACCTGTTTGCCTTCTTACACTGTCATAACTATCCAGTTGACTGCATTCTACATGTTTTATCTTTGCACTTTTCACTACACAGATACCGAAGCCGTGTTACGCAGTGCGTTCGACAGCTACCAAGAATTTAAGCGAACTGCTTGTCAACCTCGAAATCAGACCGTGTGTGGGTATAGCTTATTGGAGTTGTCCCAACATTACACAAACTTGCTCATTCCACACGGATTTCTCATTCAACGCTGCGGGGATCAGATACCTAGGGGTACTTGCAGCACGCACCATTACTTGCGCAGTGGGGCAGCGGAAGCAGATCAACTTGACTCGACAGAATATGCCATAGAGGTGGAAAAACAGCGGTCGTGCAACTGTGATATTCCAGAAGAGGACTGTTTGCCTATTGAGGTCGCTCTGAAGACTCAACCTGTCGTTATCATACAGGTGAACCAATTTTTGTAATGTGAAGTCGAAATTTCTAATTATCTGTTGATATAAATTGGGTTTCGGAGATAGTAAACTGTCCAACAGAGCTGAGTAACTTATTTCGGTTTGCACCTGAAAGTCATGTGTCGCATGCTTTTTTCTCTCCCCTGTTCGGTGCTACTGAAGTTTGCACTTTGGACCATGTGAGAATGAGGGCAGGTTATCACTAAAAGTTACCACTTGTCTTACTTACGTTTCATTTGTAATGGCACTCGGTTTTTACGTCTTAAATTAGCCTGTGTCATGAGAAGAGTGCCCTCCTGTTATTGGCCAGTAGCTACAGATTATTTCTATGTTTGCACAAGGATTGTGAATATAATCTATCAGTTTTGCGTCCCAGAGTGCTTGTTGGATACAGACTAAATGCCTGCCACTTCTGATTCACATTAAGAAAAACCCAATCACCTCTTTTATAGAACTAGATTGCAGAAGTTTGACCTGTCCAAACTGACCACCACTTACCTTCCTACTAACAGAGAATGCACATAACGTACACTTCAAAAGTCAAAGTTGTCATTTGTACACAGTATGCTAATTGTGTTTTAAGAAAACTGCATGGTAAAATCGGCAGTTTTCAAGACCTTACAACATAGGATTGCCTCAGTGGATGTTGGTTTGGAACTTCACCACTTTAAGTGTCTTCCACTTCACTGACAAATCCCACCACCGGTATCCAATATTAACAAAACAATAGGAGCGGGGAGCTAGAATTGATACTACCACAGGTTTAATTGCGTTTTCTTCTGGTAAGTTGAGCTGCTTTAAGGGTTAGTTGAGATCAACACAACTTCTGGTCAGTATAATATTAGCCGTGTGTCCTTTAGGTCGGGCACATCTAGGTTGGCACTGCAATCTCGACGAAGGTAACAAAATCAGCTGCCTGATGTATAGATGTCAGACTGTACGCAGCGGCTTTGACTATAGTTTTCACTTTATTATTCTTTCTAAGCATGCTTATGACATGAAAAATAGGTTGTATTACAATGGAACAATCTAACAATGGTTTATTACGGGTAAAAAGCATCGCTTAACAAGTCCCGTGGGATGGAAATTATTGCGAAAATCAATTGCATGATAAAGTGAAAAGCATTGTGGTGGACTCACCATAGACTTAGGTGGAATAGCGGAGATGTTCGTACATTAAACATATAAATCCATAAATCCATTGGTTAGGCGTTTGGAAAGACACCGTTTGATTGCGTTTTGTAGCCCCTGGCTAACAAGTCATAAAATGAAATGTAAATGACACAACGCATCGTCAATACGTTTTTAAAATATCGCCAGATTGGGAGCAGAGACGACACAATTAGGGAGGGCGTCCCAAGGCTGGCACATACGGAGGGAAAAGAAATTTCTACGGCATTCAAGCCGGCTATAGTGAATTGTCAGTTTCAGAGGGTGACCTCTTAGTTTAGTGTTCTGGTTCAATTCCAGTACCGGACGGCAAATGTGGTTTGGGTTCTTCAGAATCTGGTAAACCATTATGAGATCCCCCCGCAAAACAATGGAACAATGGTACAATGGAACAATGAAACAATGGTATATGACGGGTAAAAAAGCACACACTTAACGAGTCCCGCAGGTTGGCAATAGAAATACTAACAAATTGGCAAAGCACATAAGTGGTTGAAGTAAGGAGTGTCAGTGAGATAAAAGGTAGAAGTATAACAGTTTTAGGGGGATAAAGTGGTACGACGCAAAACTGGCTAAGAAATTGTTATCGTTGGTGATGGTAGCAAATAAAAATGGAGTACTCACCGGTTCGCACAGATTTACGACCGTGAATTTGGGGTATAAATCCAAAGAGGCTGGTCAGCCTAAATATATACAAGCGTTTTCGTTCATAAAACAAAGCGCAGGGCGCTCAGTGCGACGTCCAATCGTTTTTTAAACGTATCTAATGTGGGGGCACAAACTACTGAGTTTGGAAGGGCGTTCCATGGCCCACAGACTCGGAGGGAGAAATAGGTTCTCCGACAGTCTAGACGACTGTACTGTTGGCTCAGCTTTAAACTGTTACCGCGAAGGTTACTGTTCGGGCTGAGCTTCAAGAGGTGGCGGCATACGTGACTGGGATCGCTCAATATCTGGTACACTAGTATGAGGTCTCCACGAAGTCGCCGGTACCGTCCGCTGAACACTCCGAGTATCTCCAGTCGTTCCTGGTAAGGAGTGTGGCGCAAGCCCTTGACGATTTTCGTTGCTCGACGCTGTGGGGTCTCAAGCGCTGCAAGGTCACGTTTTAGCCAGGGTTGCCAGGCCTGGATTGCATATTCGACGTGAGGACGCAAGTAAGCATTCAGCATCAAAGAGAAGATGGATGGATCCAAAATTCCGAATGCTCTTCGCAGAAGTCCAACGTGCTGGTTGCCCCTTTTAGAAGCGGAATCCGACGGTTTGGAACACCCGAGGTCTTCCTGTACCAGCACACCCAAGTCGCGTTCCTGAGTGGTGGTCTTCAGATCGCGTGCCCCAAGCTTGTAGACGTGGACTTGTCGATGGCGGATATGAACAACGCGACATTTGTCCACATTAAACGGCAGAGCGTTTCTCACCGACCAATTCCAGGCCTCATTCAAGTCACGCTGTAGGACTTCATGGTCGTCCGATCGTTTTATCGCCCGCCAAACCTTGAGGTCGTCCGCGAAGAGTAAGAATTTCGACATAATAACTCTTACTAGATCGTTAATGAAAAGCAGGAACAAACGAGGCCCAAGTACCGAACCCTGCGGTACGCCGCATCCCACTCGAATCGGATCGGAAAAGGATGATCGAACTCTAACTACTAACTGCCGTTCAGAGAGAAAGTTACCGATCCATCCTAACAACGGGTCTCCGATACCGTACTGTTGGAGTTTAATGAGCAGGATTCGATGATCCAGGCGATCGAAGGCTTTCGAAAAGTCCAAGAATGCAACATCGACTCCTGTTCCCTCATCGACAGTCTCGGTCCAGTTGTCACGAGCTATCAGCAGATTCGTCGTACATGAACGATGTTGACGAAACCCATGCTGTTCTGGCGCAATTATGCCGTAGTTTTCCAAGTATCCCATTAACGCATCTGCTATCACCGCTTCCATGACTTTGGCGATCACAGGCAGAAGCGTTACGGGGCGGTAATCGGCAGGATCCGATCGACTTCCTGCTTTGTATATGGGCGTTATTACACCTTGTTTCCACCTCGAAGGTACGATGTTCTCATCGAAACAGCGCTGAAAAAATGCAGCTAGTGGTTCGGCCAAGTGGATGGCAGCTACCTGTAATGTTTTCGGGTGAATGTTATCGGCCCCGGGAGAGCTGTGTGGACGCAAGGATAGCAGCTTTTGCAGCACCATTTCTGCAGTGAACGTGACGTTGGATAAAACGGGCGGTGGGGTAACTAGTGGCGGAATATACGTCGAGGCTTGTACACCTTGGAAGATTGGGGTGTACTGGGCCCGTAATGCGTTGGCCGCCTCCTTCGCAGTATGTGTATACCCATTGGTCGTATTAAGTGGTGGGATTCCCCGTTGCACCTTGCGAAGTCCATTCACATGTTTGTAAAGAAGCTTTTTGTTCGAACAGAATCGTTTGGCTAGCTCCTGCTGATGCGTTCTCTTGTCTTCGCGAACCAAAAGCACACAGTAGTTGCGATGCGAAACGTATTCCGTCCGGTTTTCTGCGCTGGGGTTGCTTTTATACATGCGCCATGCCCGATCCCTTAGAGTCATGCATTTTCGCGTCCGGCTTCACAAGAATGATTTCGCTGTGTGGGGATGTTGGGAAAATTTTGGTGTTGAGGCTTCTATGACTAGTGACGTGATGGTGTTCGCAAATGTCTCCCAGGCTAGTTCTGGGGTGCAGTTAGCTAGAAACGTCCAACTGGTATTCTCAACTAGAGCAGACAGAACGTGGTAATGGGTAACAGATTGCCTCGTTTCGAGCTCCGCAGCTGGATATTCGGCGTAGCAGATGTAATCAAACTGCAAAGTCACGTGATCGCTACGGCCCAAAGGACTGCACACCTTTAGTCCATCGACCATGAGCTCTTCGTTAGTGAGCACTAAATCTAATATCGATGGGTTGTTTCCTGCTCTGAACCTGGTTGGAACGGTGACGTGGTTATACAAGAAGGTGCTAGAGAGTAGCTCTTGCAAATATGCCTTGAACACTTCTGTCTCGGATGCTGGATTTTCCAAGTCATGGGTGTAGAAATCTCCTGCAACGAGGATATGGTTGTACTTCTGATTAAGCAAGGAGCGAAAAGCGGAGATAAGTCTGTTGTCCCTTTCCGGAGTGGATTTCGATGGTCGGTAAACCACAGAGAGAAGGCATACGTCGTTGCGTTCCAACCACAGTTTGCACCAAAGGACGCCGGTGACACAAGTCTGGGGATCGTCTATGAGCTCACAACGAAGGTTCGTTCGGAAATAAATGAGCACGCCACCGCCCTTGCCCGTTCTGTCGTTCTGGAGAAGTGACATACCCGGTATGGCAATCTCAGCGTCTGTGATTTCGCCGCTCAGCCAGGTTTCGGTGATCATTATGATGTCTCGAGGCTCCGAAGCCAAACGGTGACGGAGTTCTACCAACTTACTTATGAGGCCTTGTGCATTAATATACATGCAGGATAGTGCTTTTGTAACCAAGAGTGAGCTAGCACAGGTTGTGGTAGGAATGGAGTTTGTGCCGACCGGGTCGGCCATTAACCGTTTTTTGTGGTGAAGTTTGCCTTTGAGTTTGCTTTCGGTTAGACGACTGATGGCGGCCTTCCGGGCCCTGCTGGTCCCCCGTGTTCAGCCGTGTTTCGTGGGATATTGCGGTTGTTGATAAATCCATGCCTTCACAAAGTTGCATGAGTGGATGGTTCAACAATTTGATCGTTCCCCGTGAGTCGTTGGTAATCCGTGGCAGCGTACCTGATGCCTTTAACCGAATTTCAGCTGGCAGCTTCATGCGGAATTTGGACCAGTTTTCCA